ATCACCAAAAATAACAAACCTTCGACCGCTGTGGAGGTGGTGGTGGTGGTGGTGGTGGTGGTGGTGGAGGAGCATCTTTTCGTGCCGTCGAACGAGGATGGATAGGTGGAGGAGGATTTGGCGGGTTTAATTCACTCTCCCCTGCCGCACTTCCTTTCCGTTTTTCTTGCACAACAGCGCCTAATATAACAGGAAGAAAAAAGAATGTATTGGTATGAGAAGCAAATCATGTAATATTGAATGTTGGAGAAAAACCCAAGTCGGGTGCGGCCATGAAGTTAGATCAACTCAAAAAATGCCTAGCACATACCAATTTCTGTATGGAGGGAAAATAAGTCAGCGCTAAGATGTAAGCCCACAATCAGGACACATAAGAAAATCTCAGATTGAGCTAATTTTTTCAGAGTGCTTGATTTTGGTCATACCTGAACTATTAGAATGGTTGAAAGATGGAGCTGGAGAAGGAACGGTCCGATCCAACACAGAATCTTCGGTAGAAGAAAAACTCAATCCAGCTGCTTTGGGATCAGACGCGCTCGACAAGCCTCAAGATAGCAAAATCAGACAAAATCTGATTTTTAGAAAGAGTATTCATACTTACCATTCAGGCTTGACGTTGGTGCTAGAGTATGATGACCAGTCACCTGACCATTTAGCTGAATTTCTACGTCATCAGAATCTTCATCACTGGCGTTGTAAACACTATTGGTTGTCATGAATTTGGCCTTCTCCTTTTCCTTCATAGATGCGGCGTAGAACCGTAACGCAGTTACCACTGCATTTGGATTCTTCTTTTGATCTGCTTCACTAAAAATTGGTTAGATAAGTTGCTATGCAAGGCAAGCGATAAAATCAGAGCCACCTTATGTCTCTAAGTAAAGAGTCCATCCACGTATCTGGAAGCCCACTGAACTTCTGTCCATCATATCCTACGTGTATCCTGGAATTTCCTCTATATTCACGGGTTCAATGAGGCTTGTGCATTGTCACTTTTAGAAAATTTCAGCCCTTACGTGCAAGTTTTGAAAATAGAGTTGTAATAGTGATAAAAAAGCTAAGATCATGTAAAATGCAACTCTAATTTGAGTTATCGGGAGAAAAATTAGCGAATAAACTTCTCTATTCCTCCGTTTCCTTTAGATAGAAAAGAGCTGTAGATGTCAAACCTTGATGTAGCAAACTTGAGTTAGATGGAAAATGTAGGATTCAAAAACAAACAGAATAGCATTTATCTAGCAGTAATAGCAGTCTCCTATTTCCTTAGGCACCGGATGCGAGGGTCACTTATGGCGGAGTAAAAAATGTAATATGTTGGGTACATGATAGTACGTCATTGGCTGATTTGTCACTTTAACACCTATTATATTTCTAGGAGACAAAGACATGTCCAAAAAAACCGAGAGCAATATCTTCACTTTCAAAGAGAAC